ATTTTTAATGTGGAGCCTTATCCTATTCATATATAATACTAATATATCAAATTATGCAGAATTTCTTTTTTGAATTTATCTTGTTTATATTCTTTTCTTCTCATTTTATTTGCATTTTTATTTCATTTCGGAGACTTATATTATGATCATCACTTTAAAAATGAAAATAATTATACTAAAAATGATTGGTCTAAATTTGATGAAGCTTTAATTGAAACGGATGAAGAAAAATGAGGAAAGGATAATATAAGAGAATTCACAAATCTAGTAAAATTATCAAAATAGTCTATCAAGCCATAGCAAAAAGATTTAAAAGTGATAAATGTAAGGGCTGATGAGAATAATGAGAGTTAAAGTTTGAGTCCTTGATTGATGATGCTAAAATTAAAAGTCTAATTTTGCTTTTGAAAGAATATTTTAATATATTTACTTGGTCATATACTTACATGCCAAGGATAGACACCGAGATTGTGGAGCATAGATTGCCTATGAACCTAGGATATAAAGCCGATGGAATAGAAGTTGAGAAGGACAAGGTTAGATGTCTTGCTTAAGGTAAAATAAGAGATTAAAAAGCAATGAGATGTAGGATTTCTAGAAGTTCTTGCATACCCTTAGTGGGTGTCAAACATAGTGGTAGTAGGTAAGAAAAATGGTAAGATCCAAATATGCATGGATTACTAAGATCTCGATAGAGTTAGTTGAAAAGACGACTTTTCATTATCGCATATCGACATCCTAGTCAATAATGCTATAAAGAATGCAACATATTCATTCATGGATGGATTTTTTGGGTGCAATCATATTAAAATGGCTATAATTGACAAAGAGAATGTTATCACCTAAATTTTGCTCCTTTTTATTTATTTATTTGTTTATTTATTTATTATTTATTATTATGAAAATACCAAAAGATAAAAAAATAAAAAAGAAAAAAGAAAAAAAGAATTAGGATGGTTAGCTTAGAAAAGGGGGTTTAATTGAAAAAAATAAAAAGTTAGAAACAATTGAAAGAAAAATTGAGGGCATGGAAGAAAAAATCAAAGTTTCAAACCCTTTAATTAAAACGAGGAGGGATAAAATTGGAACCAATTAAAATAAAAGGTCTCAATTATTGGCAAGAGAATGCTTAAATTAAAACATAAAAAAACAAGTTGAACCTAAATACATACATAGAAGAAAATCAAGGACCAAAGTTGGTTTTTACCAAAAACAAACCCTACCAATATAAAACCCCATGCATTTCTTTTATCATATACTTGTTCACCATCACCTAAAATCACTAGTAGCTATTATTTTTGTTCCTCTCTCGTCGACCAGCCCTTCTCTCACCTGCCTCTCTTACTCAACCAGCCTTCTTCTCGTCAGCCTTTCATGCCTCCATACCGGCCTTCACACACCTTCATACCATCCTCCACACGCCCACAACCACGACACCTACTCTCTCCCTCTCGCTAACCTATTGCCGGCACCTTCAAAGTCATCGGACCCGAGCCTCTCTCACTCCACGAACAACCCCATAACAGCCCTCTCTCATGCAACAAACACCCTCTCATAGCAGCCTTCTTCCTCATGCCCAAAACACTTCAAAAGTAGCCTCGGAACCAGCCCCAAAACAGACCTCAAAAATCATCCAAAACCTCCTAGATCAACTCCGAAACCGTTATTAACGACCCTAGAAAAGCCCTTACAGAGCAAACCCTTTTGGCAACCTTTCCCTCACCAAAAATAGCCACTAAAACATCCCCAAGAAATCTTTAAGATACCCCTAAAACACCTTCAAAAGTAGCCCAAAAACATACCCAAAAGGCTATTAAAACCTCCCAAATCAACTGCGAAACTATTAGCAACAACACTCAAAAACCCTTACCGAGCAACTCCTTCGAGAAGTGCATTGGAACACCAAATCGAGCCCAAAAACACCCTCAAACCAGCTTCAAAACCACTCAAAACATTTCTCCAAACACCCACCAAAATAGACACAAAACCCCTTTCGAAATAGCTCAATTTAATACTTTTTGTGTTATTGAAAAAGAAAGAAGAAAATAAACTTTAAAAAAGAAAGAAAAAAAGATATTATGTTGTGGTTTTGTTGATGCTTTTATTTAATTTGTTTTGACAAGAAACATATTTCGGAGGAGATTTTAGTCGTTTTAGTAAGATCTGCACCACATGTTATCTCTAAATAGTCACTTTCCTTTTTATGGATAATCGAATATTCGATTATCATCGAAAACAAAAAGAGTAAGACTAACTCCAAGCTAGACATCAAAATCATAAGATCTTTGGGTAAAAATTCTCAAACTAATGTACTTTCATAACTTGATTTGCATTTGCTTTGCGATGGGTGATTGATTAATTGTGGTGTGCGATATGGTTTTAAAGCTACCGATGGTGTTTAAAGTTATTTTGTATGTTTTATATCTATTTTTCATCTTTATTTTCACTTTATTTTATTCTTATTTTTATTCTTATTTTTTTTGTTTTCTCTCTGTTTTGTTGATGGTATCTTTTTTTCGTTTCTTAACTTTTGTTCCTAATTGCATCATGCTTGAAAATAAGTCACTCGGTAACTTCCTACTTATATGACGAAGCCACCGAAGGACTTCAAAAATATTTTTGTTTATTTTACATATAAGCCACCGGTAGCTTCCTAATTATGTGACAGAGCCGTGGGAGGGCTTCAAAAATATTTTTGTTTATTTTGTTTAAATATAAGTCATCGATAGCTTCCCACTTATGTGATGAAGGTCGTCAGAGGGCTTCAAAATATTTTTGTTTATTTGTTTGCATATCGATCGTCGGTAGCTTTCCACTTATGTGATGAAAGCGCCAACGACTATTCAAAACGAGTCATTTGCTCCTTGCTTGAGCAACATGAAGTTACCGGTGACTTTTCACCTTTGTGATGAAGTTGTTAGTAACTTTTTATATCCATGACTCGAAGTCATTGACGACTTCCCACTTGTGTGAGTGAAGTTGTCGATCACTCGTAGCTCATGCTAGTAAAAGGCTATTTATCTTTAGAAACTCACCTATTTTTTGAATAATAAAGCAAAAATAATCTAATAGATGTTATCATAGTCATTGGTGCATACGTATCAAAATAGTCAATACCTTTCTTTTGCTTAAATACTTTTGCTACTAATCTAGCCTTAAATGTTTGTGTAGATCCATCAATATTATGTTTTTATTTTATTAAATACCCATTTACAACTTATAGGCTTTGAACCGGGAGGGAAACCCACAAACGCCCAAGTATTATTGGATAATATTGAATCCATTTCGTCATTGATTACCTCCTTTCAGAATATTACATCTCCCGATACCATAACTTTTCAATAGGTTTTAAAATCTTCTTTTATACTAAAGAAAATAGGCATTTTTTTTATTAAGTGTAGATTTCCTATCACTTTAAACTTGAAAGATAATAGACTATCAATCAATAAAATATGAATCCAAGTTTTTTTTTCTAGTTCTTTGACTTCTTCTAGGTTTACTAGGAGTATCATGAGATATATTTTTACCACTAGATGATGAAATTTGATCAATTTGTTCATATGTTTATGTGGTAGTGGTAGTGTTGGAATCATTGGCAAAATTTATGTTCAATAAATTCAACATCCCTTGATTCCACTATCACATTTGATTCTAAATCCAATAATCTTTATGCCTTGGAAAGTTGAGCATATCCTACAAACACATTTTTTAGAGCTTTTGGTCCTAACTTAGTTCGTTTATGATTCATGATTGTATAAAAGGCTAGACAACCCTAAGTTTTAAGATAACTTTGATTTGATTTTCTCCTTCACCATAATTCATATAGAGAGACTTTAAATTTCTTAGAAGGTATCCTATTATACACATTACATATAGTTAGCAATGCTTCACTTCATAAAATATTATGTAATGTAGCATTCAAGGTCATTGCATTCACCATATCAACTAGGGCTTTATTTTTTTCTTTTTGCCAAATCATTTTGTTATGAGATATATGATGCATCGATTTCGTGTACAATGCTATATATATATATATATATATATATATATATATATATATATATATATATATATATATATATGAGAAAGAGAGGGAGAGAGTAATAATAAAAAAATAAAATCGGTATGAAAGTATTCACCACTTCTATAACTTTTTAAGACTTTAATCTAATTTTTTTCAACTTCAAATTTATAGCACATAAACATGTCAAAGGCTTGATCTTTAGTTTTCATTAAATAAACATAAGTATATCTAGAATGATCATCGGTAAAAGTAATAAAATACATTTATCCTTCTCTAGTTAAAATTTGATTTAATTCACATATATCAAATTGAACAACTTCTAATAGTTCGAAAGATCTTTCAACTAAAGGAAAAAGCCTTTTTAGTCATTTTTTATTGTATAAAATTTCATACTTTTCATTGCTAGTATCATGACAAGAGATCAAACCATGTTATGACATATATTTAATACAACTAAAATTAATATGTGTTAATATACAATGCCACAAATGAAAAGAATAAGAGCCAACAATATAAGTAGAATCATTCATTTTAATAATAATATTGAGTTTGAAAATGCCACTACAAGAGTACCATTTACCAATAGAGGTACCATTCTTAGAGAATACAACTTAGTGCTTAATGTAACATGATTGAGTGAGATGATAAACACGAGTAGTGTAACCATTACGTCTAAATTGACACTTTATGCTTGATGTAATAAGGCTAAGTGAGATGGCGGACACGGATCGTGTAACCATTTTGACTAAATTGATCATTCAAGCTTTTAAATTCTCTTCACCATACTCAACTTATTATCTATCAAAAGTAAGATTTTCAATAATATGGAGGATGCCTTGTTACATAAAGATAATGGAAGTAGAATATTGATCACAATAAGAAATAAGGATGTTGCTACTTGTATGAGATCTCCATTGGTTAATGTCTATCAAATGGAACCCCTACCTCAATAAGAGTCATAAGAACTATTTTGCAGAAGGCATTCAAGTTTGAGTTTGAAGGGAAATGTCCGAAAGATTTGGAAGAATTGTCACATAATATTGCTCGAAGAAGTGGAGGACTTCCATTAGTAATTATGGTTGTTGGTGGACTTTTAGCAACCAAAGAAATGGTGGTCCTAGAATGGAAAGAATTGCTCGATAGCGTTGTTAGTACATGTGCCCAAGATCCAACCATATATGGATGGGCTTAAGTTAATATTGCATTATTTATCTTGATAATAATAAAGAAGTCATCCTATTAATTCTTTTATTTACATGTTCGAGTAGAATTAGATAGAAATCCTTATGATATGCATTTGCAATAGTGATTGATCGAAAGATGTCGGACAAACACTAATGCACATAAATGATATCATTAAATGTCCCAAGTCATAGCATTGTCAAGAATGGACATTAACATTATGCGGATAGACTTGTGAGTGCTATGCTCATGCTATATGATAGCGAGTAGGAGATCTCACACTTATTGGTATGGTGATGTCAAAGCAAACACTTAGGTGATTAATGTTAGAGAACATATCACTGGACTTGACTCGCCATGAGAACCCATTTGGTTTTAGTCTATGGGAATCTCATACGAGATGGGTACAAATGGTCCTCGGACTTGAAATTATCACGATTATCTCATTGGAGGACTTATGCACTTTGACACTTGTTTCGATGGACCCATTAATGAGTTGCATATGGGCGATTCGTTGGGTGTATTAAGAATCCAATGGAGATAGGTGTATAACTAAGATAGAAGATATCATTCCTTGTATGTTATAGGAGTTATCACATTGAACTTCGATAAATGTTTACTCAAGAAATCTATGGCTACGGTAGGAGTACACTAATAGAGTATAGTTGGTTTACTTTTGGAGCTAAGACATTTGAGAATTGAAGAAAACTTATGTGATCATAATCGAACAAGACTAATAACCAAGCTCGTGACCACGGTGTGATAAGTTAACATGATGACTGAATTGTATGGTAACCATGCTCATGAAAGGTAATAATGGATTAACTAATCCTCCTAGAGAATTGAGTAGTAATGATATCTTGCTAGAGGTCAATCTTGATTTATGTATCAAGAGATGACGGAGCAATCTTTTATTATTGATACCTTGACAACATATCTAGGAGCCTATTGAGTCATACATATAAGTTCAAGTATTCACATTACAAATGAGAAGCAAAGATATTGAAAAAAGTTTTCAATTATAAAAGTTTTCTATTTTGGAAAGAGTTTCCAAAATGAAAGAGTTTCCACTGAAGTAAAATAGAAAATTAGGACAACATCTTTAATTCAAAAGAAAAATCATAATCGATGAAAAACAACGCCATGGTAGGCATGGCTCCTTCGATTGTGGAGAAGTGCAAAACAAGATAATTATGTATTTGGTTATTATATATTACCTAAACATAGAGGTGAGTCTATAATTCATTCTTTCACACAAACTTCATCAATATATGTATTTATCTAATGACCCAACGAGCACGTACCATAATTTTGGATGACCGAGTGTTTAGTAGAAAAATGTGTGATTAACTTTCCTTACAAGACCTTAGAAGTCGAGCAGTCATGGTCATTCGTTTAAATATGCTTACGGCTAAGATTGATTTTACATGCCTCGAGCTTCCAACCTAGGAGATGGAGACATCTTAGATAAACAATGGTCTCCATAAGTTTAAATTTCGTTTTTTAATTCTTCTCCAGTTTAGAGGTAATATATAGGTACATTAAGTTACAATGTTGTAAAGAGTCCTATATTAAAGAGAGCTATTTCAAGGAAAGGAAACTATATATTCTTGCACGGACTTCGTCCTAGACGGACTCCTATACTCATAGAATCGGTTCCTACGGTTATTCCTAAGATTACACTGACGACTCAAGTTAACAACACATGCCAACACTCCCCTCAAGTTGGAGTATAAATGTCTATCATGCCCAACTTGCCAATCATCTCATGAAATACACTTCTTGAGACTGCTTTTGTTAGCATATCAACCACTTGATCTTCGACTTTACAAAAGGAAATTGTATAATCTTCGATCCAACTTCTCATTGATGAAATGAGGATCAACTTCAATATATGTTAGTGTAGTCATGTTGTATAGGATTTTATGCAATCTCAATAGCGAGCCTTATTATCACAATAAAGGTTTATAGGCTTTGTATGTTCAATTCCCAATTTTGATAAAACATGTATAATCCATAAAAATTCACATACACCGTGAGCCATCCCTCGAAACTCGAGCTTACGCACTTGATCTTGCAACGACTTTTTGCTTCTTGCTTTTCCAAGTCATAAGGTTGCCTTCCATGAAAGTAAAGTAACCAAATATAGATTTTCTAGTTGTTTGATCGCCCGCCCAATCGGCATTTGTGTATCCTTCAATGTTAGAGACATAATTTTTTAAAAACAATAATCCTCTTTTTAGAGCACCTTTCAAGTATCTTAGGATTCGGTACATCTGTATCCATGTGTTCTTCGCTTGGCTCATGCATAAATTGACTGATAACACTCATAGCATAGTTTATATCCGGCCTTGTATGAGATAAATAAATTTACCTTCCAACCAATCGTTGATAGCGGCCTATATCCGTTGGAACTTGATTTAGAATAATTCCAAGCTTATGATTCACTTCTATCGGTGTTGTGGCTAGTTTGCAAGCAAGCATTCTAGTTTCAGCCAAAAGATCTAACACATATTTCCATTGTGAAAGGGAAATCCCTCGATCTAATCTAGCTATTTCAATACCTAGGAAATATTTAAGTTTTCCTAGATTCTTCATTTCAAACTCAACGACCGGATATTCTTGTAGTGACCTCATTTCTTCGGATAATCTCCTGTCAAGACCATATCATCAACATACACAATTAAAGTTGTTACCTTCCCTTCTTTGTGTTTTATAAACAAAGTATGGTATGAATTACTTTGTTTATAACCAAATGCTTTCGGAGCGAGTAGAGAACCTCCTAAACCAAGCTCTAGGTGATTGCTTGAGCCCATACAATGATTTCTTCAACTTACAAACTTTGCTTTTACTATAAGAACTACATTTCACACACGGTGGCGACTCCATGTACACTTCCTCTTCTAATTCCTCATTGAGAAATTCATTTTTGATATCAAATTGTTGTAAAGGCCACTCCCGATTTGTTGTTATCGATATGAGAATGCGAATTGTATCAAATTTAGCTACCGGTGCAAAGATCTTTTGGTAATCTACCTTATACTTTTGTGTGTAACTCGTAACACCCCAGACCTAGGACCTAATGGACTGAGAATATTACCGTCATTAATCACATTCGAAGTGCGGTGAATGTAGGTTAACAAGATAATATGATCTTATTGTAACTTATTTAAATATATTTACGTGGTGGGCATCTAGTAATAATGCTTAGGTCTTATTTCTTTATTAAAAAGTCGCTATAATTTTTTTTTTTTTTGAGTTTCCTTAAATTGCTTACCTTTATTCATTTACCTTGTTAGGTAATCATTAAAGTAATTAACTTCCTAAATTATTCGTTACTATGTATTTATAATAATTACACAATTATTACTACTACATCATTTCGTTATTACTAGTTTGATCACACACCTTAGCTATTTACATAGAAGACTAATTTTATGCCAATTAATACAAAATTGGTTTATTTGCTTTCACACCACTATCGGGTCATATCGCTTACTATTTCATAGCCTTTACTATTGTATAGGATAGGTCGGCTACATCAAGTATATATAGAACTATAACTCGTAATATAATTAAAAATAGCATTCGAGTAGGTCTAACTAAAAATCGAACCCCATCCAAGATACACACACGTCGAGTGCCTCCTTCGATGATCGGCTACGTGAGAAGTAGGCCATAGTGGGTTACTTATCTACACCATAAGAAACTAGATGAATAATAACTCGGTAAGTTAATTGATGCACGTAATACATGTTCGTGTACATGCGGGTATGTAACACTCGCTTTATGCAAAGTAAGTCTCCTTTTTCCTCATGTCATAAAACATAAAACGATTCGAAAATCTTTTTTTTTTTTTTGTCTCGTGGACATGTCCCATTTACGTGCTTCAAGGTTTTCATAATATATGTCTAACGAATCGGACCCGTCTACGGACGTGCTCTATCGAGCCTCTAAAAGTTCACGTCTATACTTGCTCGATCCAAACCATTACCATCACCTGTATGAAAAACCCATGAAGTCCTTTCCTTAAAACCTCAAAGTCCCGAAAATCTTTTCCTTTAAAATCATTCCGATTGCTATCGGATAATCATAACATAAAATATATTTTCATGGCTTAAAATATTATTCATGAGCTAAGCATGCATATGTAATTGCAATGAACTAGCATGCTTGTATGAATTCATAAATGCTTACTTTGAATGGTTATGTAACCAAGTCATAAGAATCGATATAAAATTGGACAACATAACGAGCATAGATAACATCAATCCAATATAAACAAACACCGTCATCATTTGCACATCAATCATCATAACCCAATTCTCATCATCAATCACATTCACGCATAACCATTATTCATAACCTAATGCATTCATATAACATTTGAAAGAACAAAACCATAACATAAAGGAAGAAGAACATTTTTGTTCAATTTCTTTGTTCCTTAAACTCATCTTTCACTTTACTTTCCTAAATTCTTTTCCTTAGGTTCTTAATTATCTTTCCATATTTGGTCTTTACCAAATTAAGTATCATTTTATGTTCCACCTAACTAGGTATTATTTCATTGATTTAGGAGGTTCAATTTCGGTTTGGGTCTTAATGGGCCTAAGGCCCAATTTTTCCTAACCCAATTTTTCTTTAAATTTTTATGAGCCCTTTGCATTCTAAACCATCTTTTTTTTTTCTATGTTTTGATTCAGAATCATCAAATTTAAGGTTTAAAACTTGGTTTAAACCTAATTCTTCAAAATTTCCATTTAGGCCTAATATTTCACCATTTAAATTTCTAAGATTTTCTTCTCATTTTGCCTTAAAAATTTTAATAACAAGTATCCTAACTATGTACCCACTATAATAATTAATTTAATTAAAATTTAGAACCCTAATTCCCGCCTAAACCCTTATTGAGCCCTAATGCGTCGAAATTGGGCCTAAGCCCATATAACCCATTTTCTTCAATTTTTAGCAAATTTTTCATTTCTACTTATCACAATATTCTTATTC